AAATATCGTGATTCAACTTGTATTTTCATTACCTCTTTTAAACCATTATATCTTTTAAGGTTCATGTGCTTTTCACACTGGAAATTTAATTTGGTCATCATCTCCTTCCAAAAACCAAATTCTGACAACTCACATTACTAGCAAGATGGTCCAAATTTTGCCCTTGGCTGTGCATCTCATAGGAAACATATCAGTACAAACCCAATGATCCTCATAATTTGCTTTGGGTGAAATCCTAAGCCAGCAAAGTACAAGAGACTCACACACATTGCAGTACAAATCCTCCACCCTATAGTTGTTCTCCCAGGCCATCATCATATATTGGTCCCCCTTCAACATCACCTTTTTATTCTTCATCTTCCAGTTCTACAAGGTTAACCGGCTCATCATTATTCTTCCTTGGGTACTCGAACAACTGATGTCCAGTTTCATAACACTTGAAACAATTAAAGGATTTTTCATGGCACTGAGATTGATGTGTTGGGACAGCTCCTGTTGCTCTTTTGCCTCTCCCTTTAAGAGAATCTGGCTGGTTTCAGTCTCAAGTCCTGTGCTCAACAGTAATGCATGTCCTTTTGCAGAAGCCTTTCCACAGGAAAAAATCTATCTATGCTCATAAGCAATAACCAAAAGAGGTCTGCTTGTGCTTCCCTTTCTGCTTTCAAGGCTAATGAAGAATCCCCCTCTAACCTCCATAAATGTTGAACGGCTAACTCATCTTGTAGACATGGTCGCAAACTCGCAATACACTAACATAGGATGCCAAGATGCACCTTATTGTGGGTCATGAGTCCGTAAAATCCCCTTTATCATTTTGAACACTCCTACTTTGTTAACAATGATGGGATCATTGAAAGAGAGTTTGGGCATAATCGATGGGTAAAATTTCTCTTTCAAGCAAGATTTCATCTTCCTCCAAGTAGAGATCTTTTCTTTTCTCCTCTTGTGTCACTTGAATTTATTGCCACCACACGAGAGCATGTTCCTTAAACCTCATGGCCACAAACTTTACTCCCTTGGCATCTGACAACTCCTATTCATATTATGATTCCACAGTCACAAACCAATCAAGGGAATCATTTCGTTGGGTCTTCAAGGGATTTTGGCAACATCAATGTGAATTCCTTTATCCACTCTTGTGGAAGCTTCAACAATCCTATCCTCAAAGTTCAATTCCTAACCTACCCACATACCATTGAAGGGATTTTCATCCGACTATATAGATTCATTGCCCTCACTACTATCAAAATCAAGCACAAACTGTCCTTGATGCATGAGGACTTGCATCTTCCTCTATCTGTCTCCTTAGCTCGTGAAATTCTTCCCTTTGCTAGTTCACACCATGCCACAGGCAACATGGCCTCTTCCTAACGCCACTTTAAGTAACTCAAAGAGTTCAACATCCCAAGGTCCACTCAAATACCACATGATCCAAACAAGGAATAGAGAGGAACAGAACGCGAAGTGCAAGCAACAAATTCAATTTTATCTTATATTGAAATCAAATTCGTCACTGCCCTTTTCAGACAACATACAAGGCTCCCATAGAATCGAATCCTAGGTCTAGATGCTTCTGAAGACTCCCCACCAAGTTGTCATACATTGGAAAGTTCAAAACCACCTAAAGCCACACAAATAGACAATATATGGGAAACAAATCAAGAAGAACCAAACCCCAAAAAGACTAATATTATCTTCCTCTAGTCCTACATATTAAATTAGATTTACTTCTTTTTTGGACATACCCATGGATTTCCAGCAAATAGACTTTATTTATATAATTTCAGACCCATCAGATAACCAGGCTGGAGTTAATTGAATTTAACTTCCAAATAAGTAAGGTAACTCACAGGTGCATTCATTTGCTTTGTGTCATATACTAGAAAATGAATAACTGGATCCTAAACAAAAATCTATTATTTATTATCTTTATCTGTTTAGTTGAACAAGAAGAAATTCTAGACTCACAACAAATTTAGAACTAGAAGCCTGTCTGAAGAATGGAGAATAGAATAACAAACCTGCACTAATTAAGTCTTTGTTTGCCAAGAGCATCTGTCAATAGAATTAATGCTGTAGGTGGGCCCCTCATTGTCAAAAGAATGTTAAAAACAAAAAAGCTCATGAGGTCTTTTTGTACCTATTGCAAAACAATGGTAGGTAGCGGCAATTTGGGTAACAGCTCCATTGTAAAAGGCATTTGCAAATAAGACCCTGTTGACCACTAGAGCAACTTTAGCAATTTAGGGAACTGCAATAAGATCCATGCCCAACACAACGTAATATAAAGCCTAAATGTATAAGCTTTAAAAGTATTGGGTGCTTATCCTACAAAGGAACCAAGGAAGCATTCAAAACAATAGATGAAGCTTGGTTGGGGACTGCAGTCCCCCAACCAAACCTCCCTCCACAATCCTAGAGTCAGAGCTTAAGCGGAGCTTGCACCCTCATCTGAGGGACGTTGATACTCCTCACCAAGGGATCTCGGTTCCTAATTAGCAAGAATCTTGATCCACAACAAAAAGGGATCTTGATCCCTATAGAAGGGGAATCTCGACCCACAAAAAATGGGAGTGTAATCACGGTTTGAAAGGATCTCAATTTCAGGGGTTTAGTTTCAAAAGTTATTTAAATTTGAGCCTGAGGTTTTTGATTTTGTGTTAATTTCGTGCTTTTTAATGATTTTCTAGCTTTGATTTCTATTTTCAAGGCCGTGGTTTGCATCTGCGATTGGAAACAAATGAGCCCACTCAGAATCACCCGAGTCGGCTTGAACCCCTCAAACTAGGACGTTCTCAATCCCAATGGTCTCCACCCAGGGGAATTTCCCCATTTGTCCAGAACCAGGTAGTTAACTACAGTTAATTCACTTGGTTCACTATAGGGACTCGAGGGATACCTAAGTCAGGTGGTGAAATTTTTTTCTTTCTCTTATTTTGCTTTAATTCCCATTGTTTAGGCCAAACACTTGGAGTTGGCAGGGTGATGCAAGAATCAGCAAGGCTCCTCAGATAAATGAGTGCTGAAATCGGCATCTGATTCCTAACCTTTTTTTTTTTTAAATAACATTGTCGAGTTTTTATACGTCGATAATTCAGGAAAATGGTGAGATTTGAAGAAGATGTCATACATAGAATTAGAGCTAGGTGGGTGAACTGGAAATATGTAACTGTAGTTTTACATGATAGTGACATTCCATTAAAGCTACAGGAGAAGTTTTATTGGCAGTTGTGAGACCAGCTTTGCTGTGTGGGGTGTTGGGCAGTCAAGACACAACCATAAGAAGAGTGTAGCGGAGATGAAGATGTTAAGAAGGATGAATGGCAAGATAAGAAGGGATAGAACTCGAAATCAATACATTCAAGAGAACTTAGGTGTGGCTTCAATACGCGATAAGATTAAAAACTATAGATTAAGGTGGGTTGGACACGTACATCACAGGCCCAGCACAACACCTGTTAGGAGGTACAAGTTGGTTCAAGTAGAAAGCTCAAAAAGGACAAGGCACTGGCCCAAAAAGACATGGATGGAAGTAGTGAGAAAAGATATGGGGACTTATGGCCTTACTGAGGGTATGGCCCTTGATAGAACAGAATGGTGGACCAAGATTTGTGTAGCCGACCCCAAATAGTTGAGAAACAGCTTTGATGATGATGATGATGATGTCAAGTATTATATCTAGTTTTTTCATGACTGTACAATCTCATTTTTCTCAAACTTCTTTGGGACTTTCTGATTGTGAATTTATCATTGTGCATGTGTGTAGAATATGCTAAAAAATGAATTATATTTTTTCAATTATTTTAAAACATCACTAAATATATGTGTGTGTGTGTGTGTGTGTGTGTGTGGGTGTGCGCATGTATGTGTGAGTGTGTGTAAAAGGCACACACACATATATATGAAGGGCACTCCCATAGTGTAGCTAAGATGAAGATGTTGAGATGGATGAGTGGCAAGACAAGAAGGGATAGAATTCGAAATGAATACATTCGAGAGAACTTAAGTGCGGCTCCAATAGGCAATAAGATGAGAAAATATAGACTAAGGTGGGTTGGACATGTGCAACGCAGACCGAGTACAGCACCTGTTAGGAGGTGTATCTTAGTTCAAGTAAAAGGCTCAAAAAGGGCAAGAGGTAGACCCAAAAAGACAAAGTTGGAAATAGTGAGAAAAGATATGGGGACTTATGCCTTCACTGAGAGTATGGCCTTTGGTAGAGCAAAATGGCCGACCAGATTCATGTAGCCGACCCCAATTAGTTGGGAAAAGGCTATGATGACGATGATGATGATGATGTTGAGTATTTATACTTAGTTTTTTCATGACTGTACAATCTCCTTTTTCTCAAACTCCTTAGGGACTTTCTAACTGTGAAGTTGTAATTGTGCACTTATTGTGCATGTGTGAAAGATAATGTTAAAAAATGGATTATAGTTTTTTCATTATTTTAAAACATCACTTAAACTTAATATATGTGTGTGTGCGTGTGTGCGCGTGCGAGAGCAGGCGTATGGTGAGTGTGTGTAAAAGGCACTCACACACACATATATATGAAGGCATCTCCCATAGTTGGAATTTTCAGATCCCAAGTTCCATTCTCACTACCAACAACTAAGATTCAAACATATGAACCGTACAAGATATCAAAATCAAGTAACAAATATGTAAAAAGCACATACTTGAAACAAAAGAATAAATAATGATATAAAGAAGAGTAGGTACATAATCTGGACAGACAACTGGCACACTTGTGGAATTTGAAGCTATAATGCAACAAATTATTCTCAACGTTTGAAGCATTAAAATTGTAAGTATTGAAGAACTATAGTTTGTGAAACCTATTATCCATTTTTACTGGTAGTCTATATAAAGGAACTGTTCTAATGCCCATAAAACACAAACTGTCCAACATTAATATGGTTCAAAGAAACCTCAAAAAACCAAACAGAAAATGGTCTGAACAGCTGCTGAAGTTGTTCACAAGTTGAGGGCCTAACCTCCAAAAACATATTACCAAATTGTATTTTATCACCAGCATTGACCAGGACATCTGCTTTGGCATTGCTTGCTTCAGAAATAACAGATTGCACGCCTGGCAATTTACCCTAAAAGAGAGTCTTAATCAGTCCAACTGAAATAACTAACTATCTGCAAGCACACACACATGCACATAGAGCAATTAAGAGATGATAGGCTTCGAAAATATGCCAGCAATCAGGTCATACATTCTCATACAGATCATTCCAAGGATTAAGCAAGAAGTAACCAACTAGACCAGATACTTACCTTTATGAGGCCAGTTCCTGTGACATGATCAGCATGTACATGGGTATTCATAGCATATATGAGTTTCAACCCTAGATCCTTTGTAAGCGCCAGGTCTCTGTCCACTGTTTTGTCCACTGGATCAATCAACTGGGCATTGAAAATGAAATTTAGTCCAATGGAGAGGTATGCATGAAATAATTAAGTATAGAATAGAAAGTTGAGCATTTGTTGGCAGGAATGAAAGACAACAGTTTGCTGCCAATAAACTTGTGCTATAGATGAACAATTTGACAAGAATGACCATCTAATATCTGTACCGAATCAAGGTTAAATTTAAGCTTTAACCAATATTTCAAGCTTTAACTAATAATACTTTAAGCTTTAACCAATATTTCAGTTTCGCACAACAATATACACAAGTTGGCATCTTTAGCAAAGACTATAGGCCAGAAACAGGCAGAGATCTGGTGATTTTCCAGGGATATATAATTAAAAATCGCTAATTTCTTGGGCACATCTCAATAAAGGTATGATTTTAATAAAGGAGTGCAATTTAAGCCCATAAAAGTAGTGATGTTTATGCATCCATTACTTGCACATCAGATAAAAAGCAGAGTATGTTATCCAAGAAATCAGTCAAAGTTCGACATCACTCCTGCAAGCTCCAACTTCAACCTCAAGCAATCATCTCATAGCAATAAATCAATCAACAGAAACGGAAAATGTTGCAAACACTGCTAGATTAATGCATGCTGATAAAGCTTTGGCTTCTAATGCAGAAGCATGACATCCTTGAAGGAGCTTCTGTAACTAAGGCATGAGCATGACATCCTTGAAGGAGCTTCTGTAACTGACGCATGACTAATCATTGTGAAGATTGCTCTGGATAATCTCCCAAAGCACACTAAGTTTCTCTTGACCCAAAGAAAAGCATTTGAAATTTCATCATTATGCTTAGATTAAGAGTATTTATACAATCAAAGCCAAGAACCGGTTACGTTTTGCTCAATCTATTTGAATAAGGTACGAGTAATAGCCTCGTACTTGAGAATCATGGAGCCAGGGTTGCGAGTATCATGAATATTAGACAATTCAATGATGTTGTTCAGCTTAAGTGGCATATGAAACAAGACAGAACCTAACAAAAGTTCAATTATCGTTTGTGCTCACCACATATAGGCTGGACCATCACGCCCTCCTTTCAAGCAATCATACAAGTTTTTCTATGATACTTGATCATATCTAAGTATGAAATTCAATGCAGCATTTGGTTCCACAGAAATCTCTCTACAAAATATGCAAAGAAAGCCACTTTCACATGAAACAGTGTTAGTTTGTGAAGTGGTGTGAACATTTCCGCTTTCTTGAGAGTCGCCCATGAGACAAACATGGGAGAATGGTCTAGTCAACAGAATTCTCCCTCCGGAAAGAGATATCCCAAGTACCAAACCCTAAGAGGTTAGTTACGGACAATTCAGTTTTCTATATTCCATTTAGTTAAAGAAATCTCCCAGCAGTGTAAATTCAATCAAAGCAAAACTCCATGGTTTAAAATATTAGAAAATTCCATTTGAATAAATATGCAAATGCAAAAAGCAACTTGGATGTATGCGAAGAATACACATTGTGGTCCATTTCATGTATGCCATTTTCTCCATAATGTGAAGAAACAAAGGCACAAAACAAATAATAAACAAACAATGCAAAAACAAAATAACACTTGTACTTAATTTCTACCTAAAAAGAGTAGTTACAAGTATTCCAAAATACTAAAATCAAGGGAAACAAAAGATTTATAAAGGTGATGTGTGCTTTAGATGGGAAGTCGACCAATATACTCTCCTGTATGAGTTTCGGTCTCATGGTATCGAGAGGTTGAACATCCTACGCTTCAGATGCAAGTCGCATTGAACACCTCTATTTGAATATTGAAGCAATCCAGGAACTAGGATTAGGATATCGAAAGTGAAAGAAGCTTTAAAGAGGATGAAGATAGAAAAGGCTTTAGGACCAGATGATAACCCAATGGACGTTTAGAAGTGCATGGGGGAGACCAGTATTGACTGGCTGACCGAGCAGTTCAACAAGATGTTGAAAATAAAGACAATGCCGGATGCATGGAGGAAAGGTATAGTGGTACCTATTTACAAAAACAAATGAGATATACAAAATTGTGCAAACTATTGAGGGATCAAACTTATGAGTCATATTGTAGCTGTAGAAGAGGGTAATTGAGCAACGACTAAAGCATGAAATGAGTGTATCAAAAAACTACTTCGGTTTTATGCCAAGATGGTCAACAATTTGAGGCTATTTTCCTGATAGGCAACTGATAGAGAAGTTTAGGGCAAAAGGAAAAGACCTCCACATGAATGCCAGATGCATGGAGGAAAAGTATAGTGGTACCTATTTACAAAAACAAATGAGATATACAGAATTGTGCAAACTATTGAGGGATCAAACTTATGAGCCATATTGTAGTTGTGGAAGAGGGTAATTGACCAACGACTAAAGCATGAAATGAGTGTATCAAAAAACTACTTCGGTTTTATGCCAAGGAGGTCAACAATTTGAGGCTATTTTCCTAATAGGCAACTGATAGAGAAGTTTAGGGGAAAAGGAAAAGACCTCCACATGTTCTTTAATGATCTAGAGAAAGCTTATGATAGAAGACATCAAGATTTAATTTGGTGGGTGTTGGAAGAAAGGAGTTTCTAGATACTATATCAACTTGGTGAGAGATATGTACAAGGGAGTGCTAACTAATGTGCACACAATTAGTGGAGAGATGAGCAAATTTTCAGTGACAATAGGTCTACATTTGGATCAATATTAAGCTCATACCCCTTTGTCTTAGTTATGGACAACTTAACTTGACACCTACAACATGACGTACCGTGGTGTATATTATTCGTGGACGACATAGTTTTGATCAATGAGATCCAAAGCGGTGTCAACACAAAGTTAGAACTTTGGAGGGATGCTCTAGAATATAAACACTTTAAAATTAGCTGGACTAAAACAGGATATATAGAATGCAAGTTTAGTAATAGAAGTAATTAGGTTAGACGGCCACGAAATACCAAAAAAACCGCACTTTCGATAAAAAATAATTTTCGTATACTAAAGCAAACCACAAGTCTCCCACAGCTATAAACACATGACAATTTCCTTATCTTCCTTTTTCTCCATTTTTGTGATCAATAACTGATGAATTGAAAAAGAAAAAAGAAAAAAAAAGAATGAGGTACAAATAAGAGAAACCAAAATCCGATCATTTCAAAAAATTTCAGTAACATGCATTATCAAGAGGAATTCTCAAATTATTAAGAGATCAATCCAGAAATTTGCCATTACTGACAAATTCATCTGAAGGGATTCAGAATTCATCTGAAGGGATTCAGAATTCATCTGAAAGACGAATCCATCACTTAACAAAACTTCAGATGATTCGAAGTATATGCCCCAAAAAAAAAAAACTCATAATCACACTGAACAGCTTGGAGAACTCAAAGACCGTCAAAGTCTACAAACCACAGAAGATCAAGACATCACAATCAAACCTTTTCAGAGGAAAAACAAAACTCCGCGCGGATTAACAAAATCTATCAGAAACCCTAACCAAAACAGGCTACAGGTCTCACCAGAGCGGGCCTCTGAGGGTGGCTAATATCAGCGAGAAGGTAAGTGTAAGTCGACGATTCCTTTTCAAAGAGTTGTCGGAAGAGAAGCTTCGAACTTTCCCCTCTGAAAGTACTGTAACCTTCCATTCCAGAATAAGCCTTGTTCTCGAACCTGTTGAAGAGTTTAGGCTTTAAGAGAAGAGGAAGGAAAGGCTTTGCAGAGGAGAGAGCAGGAGAGAGGAGAGAGAAGCACATTGCTGTGGAGAAGGGCAGGGGCTTTATTATATTCTAGAGAGAGAAAGAGAGAGTTTGATCGATTAAGAGAGAGAGAGAGAGCATCGAGCACGTCGTCAGGTGAGGAGGAAGATGATGCTGGCAGTTGGTGCGGCAGGTTGCAGTTTTTTTTAAATGCCAAACGAAACCTTGTTCTATTCGAAAAATGCGTCTTTTTATCGATGTTTCGTTTTCCCTCCTCATCTCCTTGTTTGCAGGCACGGGACGAAATATTTTCTGGCGAGGTAGCGGTTAATTTACGTGTAAATTGTTTTTAGCGGGTTTTAAAAAATGGCAATTTGGATCGGAACGAGTGGATCCAGATCAGAAACACAAGGGGTTGGCCCGGTTACCTCAAAATATGGAGCGGCTCATTTCCGCTATGAGCCAGCCCCTCGTGGTCGGTTATTAGAGATTTGGCTAAAAACAGCTATGCATTTTTTATTTTTTTGAATTTTCTTTACTTTTTGAATTTTTCATTGGCTGGTTCACTCAACTGGATCACTCATGCAGGCCGTCAATTTGCTTAATCAAGCAATTTTTTTGAATGGGCGAGATCTGGGTCACCGATCCATGCTTTTAAACCTTGATTTGTAGAAACTTTAACACTATTTCACAAATTTTTATCTCTAGATTTCTTTGCAAATTTATTCGATATTTAAATATTTAAATATTAAGAGAGGCATTTCTAAGAATCTACATTAGCATAAATATATAAACCATGCAAATGGCTTTTCACCATTTATTTGTATTATACTCACATTCAAAAACATGGGAGGTTAGTTCTTACAGGGTTATCGGGAATCCCTAGCATGCAGAATTGGGAATCTCAAATATCAGGATCCCATCCAAGATCGTGTACATAATTGGCTAAATGCATAGTCATAAATTGAAGTGCAAGAATAAAGCAAACATAAAAAGCACACCACAACAATGTTTATAAAATATCATTATAATATCCAACACTTTAAAACTCATAGTTGGTGTGGATCATCTTCCTCATATATCCGTGCCGGGTTTAAATCAAATGATTTGGATTCGTTTGGATTAGTACAAATCCTTAATCTAGAAAAATATGAAAAATAAGGAAGAAAAATATGAAAAATAACGAATAAAAATAAAATAAAATACAATAAAATGGGGGTTTATGGAGTGGGGATTTGGGGAGAACCTAAAAATATATGATAAGCTTAAAAAGAAAAAGGAAAAAATTATGAAATAGGGTGTTTTAAGGGGGAACCGTTGCAGGACTAATACTGCCCAAAACCAATTTAGTCTCAATTGATTTTCAATATGGATCTACAATTCCCAATCTAGATAATTGCGTTTTAAAAGTATTGAATGAAAGTTGAAAATGAATGTTCCGCGCATTATTAGATCTTTTTTCGCTCCCATCAGTATACAAGACTACACTCCAAGACGCTTCTACTTCATATTTTCTCTTTTCATTTATTTTTTTCTTGGTTAGGTTCCCAAAGTAAAATTTGCGTTTCTATAACTATGATTCATTCGTCATAATTATATAAGACAAAATATAAAATAAAACCGTTTACTTTTTTATATGCAGTGAAATGAGCATATGCAAAAATAAGCGAGTACCATTAACCACATCCATTGCTCTCAAACTCCACCATATCAAAAGGCTATAGATATGATCATGTCCTCCTCGTGTCAAAAATAAATGGCCTTTATTCTATACAATCCCATCATACAAAGGGTCCATAACCTTGTCATGGTAGTTACAATCAAGTGAAGTTATACAACTGCATAAAGCAGTTATCACGTTCTTTTGATGTGATTAGATTATTAGGCAAATTGTTAAAGAATTATGTTAAAAGACCAAAATATCTATTACACAATTCATACAATTACTAAGGCTGACATGTTGGCCCCGCCCTAAAAATGTAGGGCCTAGGCCACAAACTATGGCTCGAATGCTAGGTTAGGGCAAGTGCGAGCCTGGTTCAAGCTGGCCCGACTCACTTTTTTTTATTGTTTTTATTGATTTGTTTGCGACCCTGCTCGGACTAGCAAGACCGGGGTCGAGCTTGGGTTGACCATATGGGTACAAAGGTAGAGCCGGGGCAAGACTGGCCTCGTCCTGTGCAACCCCCAACACAAACAAGCAACTTGGTGGATTTTCCTATTGAATATCTGTTCACAAAGAGGTTTCTAATGTTGGTTTGGAAACAAGATGCCATCGTCACTCCCCATCTGAGTCGTAATGGTAATGGTAATGGTAGACATGCACTTATCCGTAAGAAATGTGGATTGTGAGTCACAATACAACAACCAACAAAGAGAACATTTGGAATGTGCCAAATTGAAAAGCACAAGAAACTATTATTCACCTCAATAGGGGAAAGAAAATAATCTCCAGTCATTTTCTTTAAGGAGATCATATTCTATGATAAGTTTCTTTTTTGCCTCTCTCCCCTAACCTGCATTTGATCTCACCTTCTTCCCTTTGATTCTCTCTTTGAGGAGATCTATCTCACTCTCTCTCTTATTCTCTCTTTTTTTTTTTCTTTTCTTTTAATCGCTTCTTGCTCAATGTTACAGGCTAAAAATGTGTTTTTTCATCGCCTTTAAAAGGTGATTGGGGTAATTTTGGTAGGGTCTCATACAAAATTTGCTAAAGAGTATTTTAATGTTTGATGGTAAATATTAAACCAAATAGCTATTTTCAAAGGTATCCAGATATTTTTGAAATCAGTATTTTTTGACTGTTTTTCAAATAGAAAAAGTTTATATAAGATGCAATCTTATAACGTAGAACTACGGATGCACCTTAAAAATCCATCGGAAAGCGTAGTTTTAATGTTGAAAAACCCTTTGATTGATGATCTCGATATCGAGATGTATGACCATGAAAAATAAAAAGATTTTAATTCTCAGAAATAGTGCATTTTATAACATATTATCTACACCGTCCATTTTCAAGATTTTCAAATGTTTATAGATCTACTGTATTTTAACTGTTTTTAAAATTTAAAATTTTATAATTAGATATAAAAATAGATTTTGAGATAATCCTAAGAACATTTTATATCAAAATTATATACCATGATAAAATTTGAAGGTGCACCTTACCTCTACAGCTACGGATGCATCTGTATGCCAACTGCACCCTTTTCAAATAGAGGTGACTCAAAAGGAAATCAAGTGTTGCAAGAAATTGTGCCTAATATGTCTCTAGCTCTTCAGTGCTTTTGTTGAGACAATGACGTCCCATTTGTTATAGGACGAAGCTAGGGGGGTTATGGACTTCATGACCTTAGATTAGGGGAGTGCAAGTGGGGCCATACCCGGCTCGATATCGGTTGGGTTAGGGCCCTTCATGGGCTTCATCAGGCTTTTTTTTTAAAGCCCTTAAGAGTAAGGGTCTAGACCCAATTTCAAGTAAGGCCCGACCTGGCCCTTTATACATGAGCTTCGTATATATGAAGGTTAGAGCTAGGAATGAGTCAAGTTACATCTAGGTCGATCTAGGAAGGGACGCATCAACCGGTACCCAACCCGACTTGGTTTAGGTTAGACCTGCTCCTAGCATCGTGTCTGGTCTAGGTCCAGAAATAAAAACAAATATATAAAAAAAAATATCTTGCATTTTTTAAAATACATAGTTACCATATATTTATATATTCCTTACACATAAATACCAGACCCCGACACGACCCAATAGGATCAAAGTTGGACCAGGACCAAACCCTTTGGTACATTGTCTGGATCCAGAACTAGTCTTGGTCAGGTTGATCCATCAGGTTTATTACTCAACCCCACCCGTTTCCTACTCATAATGAATGTTAGTCATATCTTACTAATATCGGAAGATTATACACACCTATGGGAGATTATCAGAGATTCACTCACAAAGATAAAATCCTACCTAAGCGTATTTTTAGGAAGCCAAGAAAAAATATGACCTGGAAGCTTATCGACGCACAATAGTTGTTGGGTTTATGTGGCCATTAAAGACCTTATGATAGTATGTAATCAATATCTGATATAGTAGAATATAAACCTAGTGGGAGTATGGTCCTTCGTGGACCATAATAAGCAAATGTTATTTGCCGATACTTGGACTTGACTTGACAAGTTAGGTCAGTCGAGTTGGAAAACCCCTAAATAACTAAACATAGAATAAAAGCGAGGAAGTTTCATGGGGTTATCCCTTGATGAAGTCGAACTTACCTAGGGGAGTGAGCTAAGGGACTATGTTACCATTGTGTGTGATGGATGGCTTCTAGTATAATGACTATTGGAAATATGGTCTATCAAGGTTTAAATTCTAGTAGCCTCACATTCAGTAGGAGCGATTGAGAGATTGAAATCTTGGCGTCTTGCAAAATGGAGCCCAGATTATTCTACTCTGAGTACGTATGAGGCATCGAGAGTTCACGTGTTGATAAAGCAATTTCTCAAGGAGATGTGAGGGTCACCTCCTAGTCAGGATTTTATAGGTTAGCCTCATGTTTAACTGCAATAGGTCAGGCCTTGGAGAATCCAAACGAGAAAAATAGAACCCGAGTACTTATTGAGTATTCGCCCTATATGGAATGGTCAAGACTTATGGGACATATGTCCGTATCCTGATACGAGACCATTACATAGCATGTGCATTTTTATTTCGTATGGGAAGCCACTCTTCCAAATGCATTATCTGAGTTTGAAAGCTAGTGCATATGTGCTTTGAGAGGACCCCTGTAATTGAGTTAGATCATATCTCACATGGGTACACCTGTAATCCATTGAGAGCCAGATTATTGAAAGTTCTGGCTCAGCGGCTTTGATATGGCCAATTATGTGTCTCTGTTTTAGACTGTAGAACATAGGTCTATTGGGTCGATCTGAGACTCGGAGGAAGGACTAGTCCAATGGAGTACTCTGATACTTATAGTTATTAGCATGAGATCTCACTATACCTTTTGTCTGATTTTATAATGGTGAGAAAAACCTAATAATTGCTCAAAAATATTTTAAATATGTATTGTGAATTTTAGAGAATTTTTCATAATTTTATTTGCTAAAAAAGTGAGGTTTTTAAAATTGTTTGACTCAAATTCCACTTTAGTCATGATTTAGTAGTGCCATTAGCGTCCGAGTGGCCATAGGGCTGCCACGTGGCAACCCACGCCTCACTCTAGGATCACCGCCCAGTTGAGCGCTGATCCTTAAGGGACCAAATTGGCAA